GTCTTTCCCTATATCTTTTCCCTCACATCCGCGTGATATAAGGTCAGCCGGATTATCTTGCCTACCTACGTGTGCCCATTCACTAAATAATGTCAACTCTTGTATCTCCCCCACTCTATGGGCTACAAACGTTCTCCATCGGGTTGATGGCGACGATATCCACGCAATAACTACATTTGAGTCGCTCCAGAATTGGCGCCGACCTATAGGTAARKKTAATTTTGGAATTACGSGGCTCGCTAGCCGAGCTAACAATAGTGCGGCGCACAACTCTAACCGTGGTAGAGATACAACTTTCAACGGCGCTACTTTCGATTTTGCGCAAATTAAATTAACAACACTATTTCCAGTCACATTGGTACCACGTAAATATAAACAGGCGCCATATGCCTTTAGAGACGCATCCGCAAAACCATGTATTTGAAATTCTATATTTATACCTCCACCAATTATTTTCCGTGGTATTGATATTTCGTTTAATTGTGGTAAACCGTCTCGACATTTACGCCATTCGTTTTGAATATCTTCCGGTAGCGGCTCATCCCAACCAGCCTTTACTTGCCACAGACTTTGCATTATTAATTTGGCATTTACTATAACCGGACCAAGSAATCCTAACGGGTCGAATATGGCCGCAATTTCGGACAGTATCTTTCGTTTTGTCGTTTTTGTAATGTTATTTTCTATTTGGCGCACGGTGTATAATAACACGTCATTATCCGAATTCCAATTTAGGCCTAGTATTTTGGTTGATCCGTTATCGCCCATAGTCCGCACGCCGCCGCTATTGCACTGGACGTCGTTAATTAATTCTTTATCGTCGGACATCCACTTGCGCAATAATTGCATTAACAATATCTCGCAATTTTATGGCTTCCGGTTTACACATGGCGCCACCGAGATAATCGTCCATATAAAAATTTCTTGTAATTGGCAAACACGCATCGGGATAATTTTCGTATTCAGTCTCCGCCAATTTTTCCAAACACGCTGTTGCCAAATATGAAGCGGGCACCGTGCCGTACGTTAACGTATTAAGCCGGTAGCTTCGTATCGGTTGCGTTGTATCTGTTCGCCATAACACACGTTGGTAACTTCGATGCTTTTCGGTAACTAAAATCTGCCGATACATCTTTTCAATATCGGCTGATAATACGTAATTATACGTCCGGAAACGTACTAAGATGTACAACAACTCATCTTGGATCATAGGCCCCTTCATTAAAACGTCATTAAGGCTGACGTCCTTATCAGTTCTACACGACGCGTCAAACACTACGCGTAATTTCGTAGTCGAACTATTTTCATTACGGACCGCGTGATGTGGTATATAATATGACTCCTCGATACTGCCGTTATGATCATCGTTGATAAGTTCCATATGTCCCAGCTTTTCATAATCGGACATAAAATTACAATATTCCGTCTTTAATTTTGGGTCTTTCTGGAAACGCCTCTCGAGTGATAATAGTCGACGCATCGCTATATCGTATGAATTTCCTAGTTTAGTTTTGTCTTTTTTAAACGGTAAATGCACTATAAACCTGCCATCGCCGTCCCGTGTAACATTTTTGTCAAAATCATTTTTGCACGCTTTTTCTTCTAAAGTATATATTTTCTTTGCTTCATACTCCTCGAGCCGCCAGAATGTCGCGATTAATTTTTCTAAGTCCGTCTCCGCTATTTCACTGACCGATAAACATACCGCACTAGACGAGTGTTCATATTCGGATTTTTCTGGAAACCCTATCGGACCTGACACCACCCATCCTAGGAACGTCTCTTGGAACACCGGTCCGTTTGTTATTGGTTTAAGCCGTCCAGATTGCATTAAATCGAAAAAGTGATTTGCCCCAATTAATAAATCTATTTTTTGTGGTTTTAAAAATGCTGGATCCGCTAAATTTATACCATTAGGAACCGTGTAATTTCCTTTAYACAATTTCGATGGTATATTTKTTGTTATTCGTTTTACTACCAGAAACGACGTTGATAGTGTGAACTCGCTATAATTTGACCTGATTGTCGTATTCACTAYCGACGACACCGTCTGCGCGCTATCTCCGATTCCCGATAAATTATGATGAACTCGCCTTTTCTTCAATCGTAAAATTTGAACCATCTGTTCAGTAATTAAATTACTCTGCGACCCCGAGTCTAGTAGTACCCTCCCGGGTACTAAATTACCCGTATCGTCGCGCAATAATATTATCGCTGTTGTTAATAAAATACGATCGTCCGCTACAACCGATGCGTACGCACTTATGGACGACTTTGACTCTTCACTATTCTCGTTCGCTACGGCCATAGTCGAACTTGCCGTTTGACCTTGCTTTCCTTCGTTTGCAGTCGATTTATTTTCGGATCCGGCTAAGTGCAACAACGTATTGTGCGGCTTTGCACATTTGAAACAAAACCGTGCGTTACATTTTTTACCTTCGTGTTTATGTAGGCAGACTTTACATAAATTCAGATCCGTCACTCTTTTTATTCTATCCGCTATATTTAAACCGCAAAATGTAGGGCACTTATAAATCGTATGCATTAGTCCACACACATAGCATTTCAATGTCGACGTAGACACGTATAATTGCGACGTACTTCCTTTTTCCTGCCGTTTTTTTGCATTTCACTCCGTTGGCGCTCGAACACCTATGTTTTTTGCGACCTCTATCGCTTCTAATACTTTGAATTTCGATTCCAAAAATTTAATTAATTCTGAAACGGCCGGAACCTTGTCATGCGACGATTTTGATTCCCAATCTCTCAATGTTTTCTCGATCATCAATCAATCAAGTTTTATCGCGATTAAATGTATTAGTAACGGGCCCCAATCCGTCGGTCGTTCGCCTAGTGCCTCTAACGCACGCATGTGTCTACACACCTTGTCCGTAAATTGCCTTAATTTTGCCGCTGATTCGTTTATCATTACTTCAAGGTCGTATATTGCCTTTACGTGTGCCTGTACTAATACCCGTTTATTATTATAGCGCTCAACCAGCGACTTCCACGCCATCGTATAATTATTTGCCGTCGTCTCTAAACACTGTATTGAATTTAATGCTTCGCCGGACAGTGACGCTCGCAAATAGAAAAATTTTTCTATTGAACTTAGCGCACTATTTTCGTCAATTAATGCCGAAAATATATCGAAGAATGACGTCCATTCATAATAATTTCCGCTAAATGTAGGTACATTTAACGCCGCTAATTTAACCGCTGGCATTACTTTCTTTTCGTGCCCTGTTTCACTATTTTCCTTTATACTCTCCACCACGCTGTCCGTTGGCGTAATTATTTTTTCCGCTGCCGCTACACACTTAAAGTACAGATCCTCAAATATCGTCCTATACTCGTTTTGCGCATCCATGTCTACTCCTTGCTGCATCTCTATTAGTGATTGAACCTGTTCGTACTCTGTCCAAACCGCTTCGATTTTTTCTCGTCGAGCTTTTATCTCGACTGGATCGACCTTTGAGGTTTGTAAAATATTCCAAAAGCGTGTTATTGACGCTTTTAATTGCCCTCTTTTTAAGTTCATATTATCTATCTACTTCTCCCATTTCGGTGTTATGAGATATACGGCTCTACAAATGTGGTGACTATCGAGAGTACGTACTACGTAGTAAACAGTAGCTACTATATTGGAGTTCGGGTAGAGACTATGATTAACTTTAATAAGATAATAGGATAATATTAATAACGCCCTTACCTTACACTTCACGTAGATGACTGTTAGCCTTCACTGGATTTATACGACACGTGCCTGTCAGTGGTCTGCCGTATACTGTATTTGCACTCGCCGCATTTTCGATTTATTTTTTACTCCGAATATTTTATACTTTGCGAAAACTTGAATATTTTTTGAGGTTAAACGCAACGATACCTCGTGGTGCTTTTCGACACCATCAATTCCGCACCTTTACGCGTTGAGAATTTTCTCTTCTTTTTTTTTACTGATACACAGATCACGGGTGAAGGACCAAATGTTATGGTGAATACAACGGTGTATTTTTAATAATTAAATTTATCATTTATTTTCGTTTGTTTTTTCGGAGTGCAGTGCGTTTCGGAACGAGTTTTATTTGCGACTGACTAACGGCTGGTTAAAGACCGTCGGTGATTGTCGCCTTTATTATATAAAAATATAGATAACCCGACCGGTCTCCATCACGAACAATAATTATTAGCTTTACCTGTGATAAAGCGACTCGTACCGAACAGTGATCTAACTGGTGTTGGAAAAATTGTTATTGATGAATTACTTATTAGAATACCAATTGTGACTTATGATGATTTGAATAAAACTAAGTTGATAAATAAACTAAATTTACAGTCTAAAAGAAACGAATATAATATGTTTGTATTCAAATCATGACAATGTATTGAAGAAAGAAATATTAGTGGTAAAACACTAACCAAAGACATAACAAATATGTATAGAAATATTAATAATCCTTTGT